TACCAGTATAACTATAAGGCTAAAACTATGCTAATTTAATTTTTGAACCTTCTAATGCATAGAGTCAAAGTTATCATTATTTTATTTATTTATTTTTAATTATGCTTTAGGTGCATGTTTACAGACAGAGTTTGTTTTACATTCAACATTATGTGTACATTTAGTTTCACTCCCCATTTACCATCCCCAACCTTAACCCAGTCTCCTCCCCTCCCTGCCCAGTAACCCCCCCCCCCATGCCCCTCATAGTTAAGCACTTCTGTATATCCTGCATTTTCTCTGTGTGAATGTTGCCCCTCTGGTGATGACTTGAAGCACTTACTGATGCAGATTGAAGACTACAGTCTGCAGTATAGATTACATCTCAATATAAAGAAAACAAAAATCTTCACAACTGGGCCTGTAAGCAGCAGCATCACAATAAATGGAGAAAAAATTGAAGTTGTCAAAGACTTCACATTGCTTAGTTCTACAATCAGTGCCAATGGAATCAGCAATCAGGATATCAGACAACATATAGCACTGGGCCAGTCGGCTGCAAAGGACCTTTTTCAAGTGCTGAAGAGCATAGATGTCTCCTTGAGGACTAGGGTGCACCTGACACAAGCCATGATATTTTTGATCACCTCATATGCATGTGAGAACTGGACAATGAATAGGGAAGACTAAAGAAGAGTTGATGCTTTTGAGTTGTGGTGAAGAGTGTTGGAAGTACCATGGACTGCTAAAAGAACTAACAAATCTGTCCTGGAGGAAGTGCAGCTGGAATGCTTCTTGAAAGCGAGAATGGCCAGACTTCGTCTCACCTACTTTGGTCATATTGTCAGAAGGGACCATTCTCTGGAGAAGGATGTCATGCTTGGTAAAGTGGAGGGTCGACAAAAAAAAGGGATGGCCCTCAATAAGATGGATTGATACAGTGGCTGTGGCAATGCGCTCAAGTATAGCAGAGATCGCGGAGCTGGCGTGGGACCAGGCGGTGTTTCATTCTTCTGTGCACAGGGTCGCTATGAGTCAGAGACGACTTGATGGCACCTAACAAGGACAACAACAACAACCATATACCTGTCATCCATATGAAAAGCTTAGGAATGTGTTATTCTCTCCCTTCAACCCTAACTTTCTATCAGCTACCAGGTCTTGTTCCTTTTACTTTTTTTCTCAAATTTGGAGCTCTGGTGGCAGAAACGGTGAAGCACTTGGCTGCTAACCGAAAGGCTGATGGTTTGAACCCACCCAGTGGCTCTGACGTAGAAAGACCTGGCTATCTGCTTCCATAAAGATTACAGCCAGGAAAACCCTGGGGCAGTTTTATATGGGGTCACTATGAGTTGAATCGACCTAATGGCACCTAACAGCAGCAACCTCTGAGCTGTGTTCATTTCTGGTCATTGTTTAGAGAACTGTTGTAGAAATTCCATAAGTTGTCTCCTGCCTCCCAGAGACCTTTACTGCTTTCCTTTCCCTCTTCCCCATTCCCCAGCTATTCTGTGTATGACAGCCAGAGTGATAAACCTAAAGCCCAGGTTATCATTCCTGTACTTAATTTTTTCAGTTGTTCCCATAGCCTGTGGAATAAATTCTAAGCTCCTTAGCATGGCATGAAGAGTTGCCTTGTCTGTCTAGTCTTGAAGACTGACAATGAGTAAAAAGATACATTGGCCCAAATTGCAGACATCTTAGTAAATGATAAACATTCAGATATTTGATGTATGAGCAAATAGAAATCAGATCACATTGTTTAGCAAATATTGTTAGGTTTGGGAGAAAAATGAATCCTTTGTCATCATAGTCATGTCTGTTGTGGTGCCTCAACATGAAGCATCATTACTTTTTACCTGTCCCTTATAGGTCATAGGCCCTTGTCACCTAGCTTCATGACATATAAAATCGCGTCACATATATCTTTGCCCTTTGTATCCAGGTTACTGATGCTTTTATCTGTTCAGTGCCCACTCTGCACTTGCCAAATATCAGAGAAGAATTTGCCAGTGTTTATGCTTTAGATCAGGGGTTTGCAAGCTCTCACCTGTTTTTGTAAATAAAGTTTTATTGAAACAGCCACACCATTCGTTTACATATCATCTATGACTGCATTTTGTGCTAGAGCAGCAGAATTGAGCTTTTATGACAGAGACCATATGGCTCACAGAATATAAAATATTTACTATTCTTTTACATAGAAAGTTTACCTACTCCTTTGAGCTACACAATATTAGAAAGACAAGGCCTTACATAATACCCATGTTGTTGTTGTTGTTGTTATGTGCCGTCGAGTCAAACTGGACTCATAGCGACCCCTCCTTGGGTTTCCGAGGCAGTATCACTACGGAAGTAGGATTGCCCAACCTTCCTTCCGAGGAGTGGCTGGTGGGTTTGAACCGCCAGCCGTCTGGTTAGCAGGCAAGTGTCTTAGCCACTATACTACCAGAGCAAACCTACTCCTCACTTATTGACTCTCACATTATCTGACATTTCACATTTATAACCATAGTGAAAAATCTCTATTTTGTGCATTAGTTAAATATGTCTGACAGTAGTGAATGCTGACGTGTGAGGCAAGAGTAACTAACACTGGCTGTAATGGTTAAGGTTATATGTGAACTTGCCTGGGCCATATTCTCAGCGGGTTGGTAGCTATGTAATGGTGTAATTTGGCAGTTAGGTAATGATGTCATCCACCCTTTTCCCATAATACTGATTTTCGCATAACAACCTGGTCTTTGAAACCTAAACATGTTGATAAGTGAGGAGTAGATATATTCCCTGATAAGAAATTAGAATACATATCAAAAACAGATAAACCCTTTTAAGTTTATGTACCCTATTTGTGGGATTGGTTTTGTTAAATATCTTCTTGCTGTTTCTGTTTTGCTGCATGTCATTAAAGAAAGACAGTTCACATTTCTCATGTCTATATCAATGTATGTATATGTGTTTATATTTTAAGTTTGAAAACAATAAACTTAATTCAACCATATGCAAAATATTGAACACCAAAATCAGGTGTGTGAATGTAAGTGGCAGAAAAAGTTTGTCTTTGACAGACCGCTTAGTGTGCAAAGGCTTAAATACAGCACTTCCTTTAAAACAGTTTAGAATATCAGTTTATATGTCTTTCTCCCTGTAGCTTGCCCCCCTTTTTCCGTCCCTGCCTTCTGTCCTTCTGCAGAGTTCCTTCTGATTTGACCAGTTCTTTATTGGTCCTGTTTATGAAAATGAATAGGCTACAGAGGCAAAATCAGTAGCTTGGAAATGTGAATATGTGGTGGCCTATTCCCAAGGAGCTGTGGTGGTGCAGTGCCTAAGGTATTTGCTAACCAGAAGGCTGGCAGTTCAAACCCACCAGCTGCTCTGTGGAAGGAAAATGGGGCAGTCTACCTCTGTAAAGATTTACCACCTTGGAAACCCATTGGAGATCACTATGAGCTGAAATTGACTTGATGGCAGTGGGTTTGGTTTGTTATTTTGTTACACCCAAGGGTGATATTAAAATTATATGTTGAGTAGAGTATGAAGTATTAAGCAATCAGAACCGATATCAACTGGAGTGCTGGAGCAGGGTCCAAGAGTACCAGGAGTTAATCTTCAGTTATAAGACAGTAGGGAGGTGTGGGATCTGGGAATGGGAGCTTGTTGAAACACAGGGCTGTCGGTTGGCATAGAAGGGTTGGGGTACTGGCTGACTATCAGCTTTGTTTCTACTGATGCTTGCGTTATTTCCAGTAAAGCAGTGATCCCTTGGCTCATTTTTCATCAAACAGGTTTGAAATGCCTATCATGTGCCAGATGCTTTTCTAGGTGTTGGGGAATCAAAATGAGTCAGCGTGCTTCTTGCCATTGAGAGGCTTATAAACAGATCTACTTGGAAAGACGTAGAGGGGCAGGGCAGAGGGAGAGGGCAACAGGAGAATCTCCTGGCAAAACAATGCACATCCATTAAGGGTCTAGGTGTTTTAGATTTAAAAAATAAAAATCTTTGAAGTCTTGCATTATATCTCTACATTATGGTTTTTTAGTATTTTTTGGTTCTTTAAAAATTCAGTTTATAAGGCTGATATTTCTTATTTAGGATATAATTAAATTTATATGTTTTAGATTGCCTGCCTGATTCGAGTTCCTTCAGAAGTGGTTAAGCAGAGGGCACAGGTATCTGCTTCATCAAGGACATTTCAGATTTTTACTAACATCTTGTATCAAGAGGTGAGTCTTCCCCCCCTCCCCCCTGTGTGTTTTCAGTCTGTCATCTTTTATTTCTGGAGAAATATTTTGTAGTAGATTGATAACCTGAGCTCTCTGGGCCCCATCCCAGGAGCCATACATGGGTCTCTAGAGCAGCAGTTAAGGTCCAATGACAACTTTTTATACTAAATTATCTTTGTCTTTCCTTTATTTGTTTTTGAATTTTATTGCTTTCTTCATTTTCTAAACAAACATATACTGAGTGACACTACTGTCTTTGTGTCCTACGTTGGAATCCTCCTGTAGTTCTCTTGGAATCAGATATGGAGTAAATTTGTAAATACAGAAAGAGTAAAGGTATCTTCAAGCATCACTACAGAATTTGAAGGTCCATGAAAAAAAGTATAGTAATCCAGTAATATTATTATCCAGTGTTATGATGTTTCTATCATATATGATTCCTCTTTTACTGATTAGTGTTGAACTCTGTACCACAAATCATTTTTACAAACTTTATATGTAGAAGACCAATTAGTAAATATATCATGTGACTAGGGAGCATTTAGGAGCCCTGATGGCACAATACTTAAGCATTCAGTTGCCAACAGGAAGGTTGGCATCGGAATTCACCCAATGGTTCCATGGAAGAAGGACCTGGCAGTTTTCTCCTGTAAAGATTGTTGTTGTGTGCTGTTGAGTTGATTCCAACTCATACAGACCCTGTATGACAGACAAGTAGAACTGCCCCGTAGAGTTTCCTAGGCTGTGATCTTTACAGGAGCAGGTTGCAAGGTTTTTTCTCCTGTGGAGCTGCAGATTGGTTGAACTGCTGACTCTTGGGTTAGCAGCCAAGCATTTAACCCTTGCACCAGGAGGGCTTCTTTTGTGAAAAGTTACTTTT